GAAAAATAACTGCCACAGAGGATTATTTCAGGAAAACTAACCTCATTGTGATGAGTATTTAACACGGACCCCTTTGAGAAATTCATTGGTAATAATGTCAACTACTCTAAAGTTTCTTTTAACCAAGTTATTTAAATGGACATGAATATAAAACTGTTGCTAAAAAAGATTGTACCTCTGAACGATGACCCTTCACATCATCATGAAAAAAGGGAACAGTCAGAACATAGAGTCATGACCACGAGAAAAGATAAAACAGGAACAATTGCGATTGCGAAAACTAAGAAATCATCGTGGCTGTACGCCATGAAGAGCGGAGTGTGTCTCCCAGCATTTCAACATCAGAGCTGCAGGATGAGATGAATCTGTGCATTTTAAATGAAGTGAATTCAGATTCAACTTCCACTGAAAATTCCCCTGAAACAATAACTCATCACAGTTTATTTCAAGATCTTGTTCAAACTTTGACAAATGACCACATTTCAGATCTTTTCCCTAAATATAAACCATGCATATATCTATATATCCTGAGCTTTTCTGCTTTTGTTCAACAGACTCTTTGATATCAATCCAATCTTCACTGGTCTGGGATGTTCTGAATGCTTTAAAGGATTTTGACTCACATCCTCAAACTTATCACAGACGGCCTCATCAAGAGCAGCCACCAGAGAAAAGTAGACTCTGTCGCTCAGGATGTACTGTCAGGAAAATACAGTCATCCAGTTCAAACCCGACCACAAAAACCCACCTCAGCTCTGCGCTGCACGCACCCACAGACAGCACGACAGAAGTAGCTCTTCATACATGACTGCAACACAGATGTAAACACAATTTATTTCATTGGTGTTTCTATAATCATCCAGTGGGGGATCGAACACAGACTCACGTCCACTCACACTCAACGTGAAGCCAGACAACAGCCGTCAGAGGTAGGAAGAAGGCGGGATCAGAGGGTGGCTGAAGCTCCGTCCATGGATTGACTGATGGATTGAAGACTTACGTGCTGACCGTGCGTGGCGGCAATAAAAGCAACTGATGGTTTTCAGTCTGGAAGGCAAATCTATATAGTTTAGAGCAAGAAAAAAGCTGCACATTCTGCAGGAAAGTGGAGCAAAGGAAGAGGAAATCAAGAATTATCAGTCGCCTTCATGAGAGAGATTTAAAAGACTTTAGCTGCATCTGGAACATGTTAGTTACTCTGAAACACATATAAAGACAAACGCTCACAGGACGCCAAGCTGGGCAGCCCAGAGGAACCTCTGTGGCTTCACCACCATGATGGAGAAGCTGAACCCCGCGACTCCACCCACCTCACCCCCCGACCTACTTCGCCCCTCTTCCTCCTCCCCCTCTTCTTCTGCCTCCTCGCCAACCTGTGTGTCCGTGGAGCAGCACAGCTCCTCAGAGAACCAGACTTCAGTTATCAGCAGCCCATGTCCTGCTGAGAAGACAGGGCCCAAGGGACACACAGATGTCCCCAACACTGTCTCCATCCAGTCTTCCATCACTACAACAACAGCGTTGACCAATCACTGCAAGGATAAAGCTGCTGAACGTGAGCTCATCATTATGGAGACAAAGCAAGAGCAGGAGGAGAGGCAAGAAGGAGGAAAGAGCACAACGGCCCCTGCTGCCACCTTCAACAGGTCCCCAACTCTTTCTTCTCCACCTCCGCTCCTCCCCGCTCCGGCAAAGACATCACCGTGTCCAATCCCACCTCCAGCCTCCGTATCATCATCCTCATCATCCTCTCCTCTTCCTCCCCACATTCCGGTCATTAGTCTTGGTCACAGCAAGCCGCCTCGGCCGCTGCCCAACACCCCTCTGACCGCCCTCCATCCTATCCCCAGCCTTCTACATAGGCCTCATGGGGACATTCGCCGTGGCCAGCAGACCTGTTTGACTGTGGCGTGCACCGGAGGCCCTGCAATTTCTGGAGGTCCCTCAGCTCACTCCCCAGGGCCCTTGCTGCCTCAGCAGTACCTGCCTGCACACCCGTTCTTCAGCAGGTGAGATTATTACTATTATTTTTTGTTTTAGCATTCATCCATTTGCCAGTGTTTCCAGCATATTCACCTTACGACCACTCAAGAATAATTTTCCAAGGCCTAAAAGGGTGCAGTCTAAAGACAATGGAGACAAGTCAAATAATGATACATATAAATATTATTTTATGTTTTTAACACTTTCTTATCCTCTTAATCATCTTATGACCTTTTTTTGGGGGGGGGGTCACATTCATTCATTTACCATAACCAGGGATCAGACTACCCACTTAAATAACGACCCCCTTCCCTACTGATGATATACTGTATTTCCAAATGTTATGTATTTGTATGGGTTGGTAGGTTGTTTTCTGTCATTGGGACTGAATGAAATGATTGGCTGATGTACCTGTCCGTCACTAACAGACCTGCCTGCAGGTTGCTGAAGCAAACACAACAGCAGAATATCAGGGAAAGGTTGGCTTCCGACAGTTGTCAGGCAGTGTTTCTTATTTTGGGTGTGTAACTTTGACAAAAGGGCTGATGGGAGGTTTTTAAAAGTTTAGCCTGCTCTTACTAGCTTTTCCAACCCTAGCTTTAAATAATGCACTTTTGTCAGAGTTATGTTACATAGTTATATATGTAAAAAAGGAGTAAGAACTTTATTTCTATAGCACTTACTGTATCTAAACAAGATTTACAGTGATAATAATAATACAAACAAACAAAACCCATTAAAGTGAGTAATAAATCAGGCATTAACAAGCTTTCTGATAAAAATATGTTGTAAGATCAGTTCCCCACAAAATATCCTGTTGTATATAAAATAGGACAAATAAATGCCACATGCTCATCCATCTACTGTTTTAACAGGAATACAAGCAGATGTGTGTCACTAAACTATAAAACTTAATACAATGCGGCTTCGTGAGATGTTAACGTTTCTGTTTCACATAAAACCTCAACTGCTGGGATTTCATAGCGGCTGCTCTGTGACACTGACAGCAGGATGTGTGCTGTTATAAAGGAGCCTCACATTTCTCACACTACATTTACCCAGACATTTTATTTTTTATGTTTTTGTGGTTGTGTGTTTCGTTTCAGAAACCTGTACAGGCTGTCATTTTAAAATTCGACATCAATTTTTGATTGTAGCTAAATTTAGACATTGAACTGACAAACAGACCAGAACTCTGAAAGTTCTTTTTGGGTTTGAGGAACTGGCACCGTGTAGTTTTACACTCGTGATGAGAAGCATTCATTTGCAGACTTCATAAAGCCCTCCTACTGTTCATCTATTCTCTACTCCAAAAAGGATTTTCCACACAGTTTTCTTTCTGCAACAAAGGAACATAAGCTATATTGAAAAAAGGGACTTTTCCCCCCACTGTGGCTACATCTATGATTTCCCCATCTGTCATGGAGGTGTGGGAATAAGATCGCCTCCCCACTTCTTTCTGGTTTATTTGTAGCAGGAAGCATTGGTCTATTTCATCCTCCTGAAGAAGAATCAGCCATTAACCAGGCTTAATGAGACCAGGCTAAAACTGTGCACATACACTCAATCAACACCAGCAACATATTCACACCTTAGTTAATGGCTTTCACCATCTTCCTGCTTCCTCCAGCCACTCCACCCAAAACGAGAGACGCTGGAAAGACACAACATGTTTGTTTTGTTAGGATATGTTAGAATATGTGTTTTTATTTTTTACCAACACTCAACTATTCCTGAGCAAATCAAGACTTACTGAAAAGCTCATTTACAGCCTCACTCTTACTTAATTGATCTTCGGATCTTTCAGATGTCTCACTAGCAGAGGTCAATTTTAACTAAGACATAGAGGAGACATATCTTGATGGAGTGACTTCTGACAGGTGGCAAATAACTGTTCTTTTATAAAATGTTAAAAGAATGCTTAAAATACAATTTAACTGCTGCTCATCACTATTCCTCTTTATGCATTGTTTTCTATGTAAATATAATTTGTTTTTATGATTGATAACTTTTCTCAGGAAACAAGAGATGTGTATAAAATTACACTTATGAATGCATTGTTGCATTTGTACACTTATCAACATCATATACACACAAATATATCAATATTGAGATTGATATAATTTTTTATTATACATGTTATCATTAATTTTGTAATTACGAGAAATTTCTACATTTTTTTGGGAGAGGCTTTTTTGTTTTTTTATTTTTATACCTGCACAAATAAATAAATTACCATTAAAAATACTCAAACAGTTTATATATATCGTTGCATATAATTTTTTCAGGCTAATTCTGCTTGTAATTACCAAAATGTCCCATTTTCACACATTGTGCTGTGTTTTCTGTCTGTAGCTCGTACCTGGGTCACTCAGGAGGAAACTATGGCGTCCTCAGCCAGAGCCGCATCAAGAGGAGGCCGTCGTCACACTTTGAGATGGAGATCACTGACTGTGAGTTTCACACGTTGACACAGCCACAGATGCAATGAAATTACCTCCAACAGTCTGGAGAGGGAAGTGTAATATTTTAAGTGCTGCATTTAGAGGAGACGTTTGGAAATTCTTTTTTCTCATTATCATCAATTCCCATGTGTTCATTTATCTCTTGACACTTTTGTGGCTTTCAGTGCCGACTATTTTCTCGATCTTTAAAAAATGAATCTCAAGCGTACTGTATATACAGACTATACTTAGAGTGGTGAATTAATGCCCTAATTCCTGTGGGCATTAGGCTTCCACAGTAAAAGGTACATGTGTTAGAGGTCTATTTTCAGCCATGGATTATTACACATTAAGTACTCTAATGAGTATTTACAGCAGCACTTAGTGTACAGTGTGTGAAACTGACTCCAACAGTCCCCTCATAAAACCACATTGGATCACTGGATCTGTTTATTAATTTTAATTTACACCTAAATGCTCAGTCTCAAGCACACACTCACAAATGCTGAAAAACCTGGGCGATGTTTAAGAAAGTGAAATGGATCAAGGTAAATGCGATGAGCCTTAGTGGAGGAATGCACTCTGCTGGGTGCCATTCTACTTTGTACTGTTGGATCAATATATTGTAGGTTTTGGTGGTGATACATAAATTGACTCTCTTTTTATGTGTTCCCAGCAGGCCCCCCTCAGAAAATAGCACGCCGCGTCTTCACCAACAGTCGTGAGCGCTGGCGGCAGCAGAATGTGAACGGGGCTTTCTCTGAGCTCAGGAAACTTATTCCCACTCACCCGCCTGACAAAAAACTCAGCAAGAATGAAATCCTGCGTCTGGCTGTAAAGTACATCAACTTCCTGGTCACTCTGCTCAACGACCAGGCCGAGGACAAGAGCCACGACTCCGCTGAGGAGGAGGCTGAGGACGAAGGTACGGCAGAAGGCTCGGACAGCAATAAACGTAACTCCCTTTTTCAGTCCCGTGCCAACCTGCCGCCCTCAGCCGTCATGGCAACAACCCGCAGAGACAGAGACTCAACAGACTCAGTCGCTGCCCTGGCTAGTTCCCCAGTAACATCCAGTTGCTATGGCGACACAGACAGTGAAGAAAGCTTTGGGGGCAAGACCTCTTTGGTGACCCAAGGCATTCTGGGAAAGGTCAAGGGTCAGATAAGAATGGTGGCTGCCACAAACGATGTGCGGTGACACCAAAGAGGTGACAACAGAGAGGGGTGCAGGTGGTGGGAGTTTAAATGCCTGACAGAGAAAGACAGGACGATGGTCTCAGAGAGTTTCAGGAGCCGGTGTTGTCACTCCTCACTCACACTCTGCTCGAACATCAACTCCCAAATCATGTGAATAAGAAGAAGACTCGCTGTTGGCGAAATTTTCTGTTTTAACCATCTCTATATGGATTAATTACAAGGCCCGGTGTTTTCAAAAAGTCTGCAGGAGGCCGCGAGACATGAATCATCCCGGAAGTCATATTTTCTCTTTGTTATTTTCCAAAATGATGAGACAGTGTTCTGTGGCAAACATTACACCACAGTGTCAAACCACTGAAATTCATTATGTGGATGATTTGTGAACAGAATCCTGGAAATATAGTTACATAATATTTCAGGATGGGTTAATGTCCTAATGTGTTTTAATAATAAAAAATCTAGTAATCAGGATCTTGAAACCCTGATCTCTTGACTCATGACAATGTAGAAACTTTTAAAATATATGGGATGAATATCAAGCCATACTGCCAAACTGTGCATGTTGTAAACTTAACTCTAAGATTTGTCCTTGTCCAGACCTGTACATGCACCCCTGTTCAGACCACCATGTACAAGGTTTCAAACCAGGAAAACAAACTGATGTACTTGGAGAACAAGGACAAATTTTAAACTCTGAAAATGTGTTGGAGAAACTCTGTAAAAAGAGAACTGCAGTTTTGAAAAAGGAAAACTCAAATATGAAATAATGTTGGCAGAGATTAGAACATTGTGCAACCTTTTAAAATCTTTGTTTTCAGTTTCATAAAATGTCATGATATATATCCCATAAAAAGAGGGTTATAAGATTTTCAGTGAAAATGCAGCCTCAGAAGTTTATATGTAAATAACCAGCATCTCCTCTGTTGTTCGTGTGTAGAAATCCACGACTCGCATTCCTGCATTTCAGAGTTGCAGTTTTTGACGCTCCTGCTGTCGTTACTGTCAGAGAAGCAGGGCCGATGATCCTGCCCTGAGATTGTGACACACTTGTACCAGACCGAAATAAAGTGTGTCTTAGTTTGCTGTTCCTTATTTGACATCCTCTTACTGCGTTCTCTTCGTCAGCACGATTTCGCAACAGCATCCAAATGTTTTGCTGCTTTCAGTTCATTGAATGAACGTGTGTTCTCAAATGTTCAGCTCAGTGAAGATCACGATGACCATCAGATGCAGTTAGAAAAGTACAATGCTAGTAAATTAAAATTTATAAGAGAAAGAAATTGGAAAGATGTGTACATCTTTGAATTAATATTGTATGTACATTTTTTATGTTTAGAACTCAACACAATTTTACATGGGCTTAACAGCAAAAGCCAAGCTGCATGTTATTTTGTGGAGGAGATTGATGAAAGTAAGTCACTCAGTAGAGTTCATATGCCAAGGCCCAACAATCTCCACATTTAAATTCACTAGATATGGATTTTTATTTGGATGTGCCACAGACTGCACACACTCATACATATCAGTCCCCTAAACATGCAACAAAAGGGATTCAAAATTGCCTCGCAATGTTGAAGACAGCAAAAAAAATGATCCTGGATCCACACCAAAATTTAACAGGTTTTTTGTTTTACCTATCCTTCCACCAAGTTTTCTGATAATCTATCCAGTATCTCTTGCTGAATCCTGCTAACTACAAACCACCTCCTTGGAGGGGTTAATTAGAAAAGGGCGCTCAGTAGAGCTCATAAATCCACCAAGGCCCAACAGACCCTTATATTCAACCAAACTGCACCAAATAGCACACACTCTGATATTAGTCCTCTAAATATGCCTGAATCAAGATGACTGCATTATTTCTACAGAAATTCCTAAACATTAAATCAAATACGCTCCAAGAGTTAATTGGTTCTTCCCTGGTTCATATCCTACCCTTCCATCAACTTTCAAGAAATCTGGTGAAGTAGTGTAATCCTGCGCAAAGGCAGACAAACAGCATTCAAAGCTTAACCTCCTACGAGGAGACAAGCCGGCCAGTTAAAAAAATACTGAATGATTTTGCACCCGGATAAAACTATTTGCTGACAACAAAAAAAACCTTTGTATTAACCTGTCATTGCATTTAAAGAAGCCTTTGCACATATATTGTACATGTTTGTTCCATGTGTCCGTGTGTGTGCAAAGCAGTGAAGGGGATGTGGTGAAGAGTTCGCAAAAGCCTGATGCAACAGCAACAAGAGTGGGTGGTTTTGTGGAAGGTCAGGATGGATGTGGGATGCGGTTAGAGACGGGGTTCCACACAGAGGGGGATTGTATAAGTGAAAGTTTGGGGTGTAAATTGCAGCTGTGTGATGGTGCTGCTGTCTTATAGCCTGCATGCATCCACGGCCAGGAAACGCCTGCAGTTAGTGCTGTCTCATTGATGGCCAACGAGTTTCCTGGAGGAGGGGCAGTGGAGGTGTGTTCTATATGTGTGTGTGTGTGTGTGTGTGATTCATTTTTTTGCGGGGTGGCAACCGCTGCAGGGGGAAGAGAGTGGAGAATAACAGAAAGAGAAAACAGCCACCAGGATGCTCTGGGAACCCCTGTACACCCTGTTTCAGGACCACACAACAGGAAGAGCTGCTTTCACAACTCCTGCTACGACTGTTTGTGTCCGCTCTGCTGTGCCAGGCCGCTCGGTCGCCTCCCTCCTTCGCTCTGAAACCACAGAGACTATTAGAGACAGAGGCAGGGTCGCATGAAATACAAATAAGAACCAGAACATGCTACAGTGTTTGCCCGTTTTCTGTAGCAGCACAAACAACAAACTCACGATAGACACCCTGGGGTCACAGTGTGATGTATTATAGGGCAAACCAACAACTGCTGACTCTTTTGCAGTGGCAGCAGACAGTTTGGCTCACACAGCAGAAAAAGCACAGGTGTGGCTTTAAAAATGGCTGCATTCCATTAAGGTGAGCCGGCTCGGTGTTGGCAGTGTGCGACCCACTGTTATTACAAACTGAGACACTTCATGGACCTGAGACTTCACTAAAGCAGCAATAATCATATGACAAAGTTTAATGTGGCATCTGAAGGTCCTCCATCTGAAGGGGCGTAGCTTTGAGGAGCGGGCCGAGGGGAGGGGGTGGGACGTTTCTGTTTCATAAGTTCAAAGTGCAGCTTGTTCTTGCAAGTTTTATTAGGATTACTGTTCTAATTTATTCTCACTGCTCTCATTGCTTAATTTTTGGCTTTCAGCTGCTCCCCTGCAAACACCAGACGGAAACCCTCATGGATTCGCTGGTGAGCGTAGTGGAGCACTAAAGAGCTATAGAGCCAGATATTTCTCTCAGGAGCCAGTAGGGACCAAAAATGAAACAAAAAGAGTCATGTGGTCAGAAACATGAAAAGCTCATTTGCCCCATAGTTGCTGGATGTGCAAATTGTTTGCACAGGTCCATCATATCAACTTAGATGATTTGTCATGTGTTTTGTTTTACCGATGCACATTCGACAGTTGTGCAGTGTGTATTTACTCAGAACAAGCAGCCAGTGTACCAGCTCTGCAGGAAGCAGGTCAGGCTGGCAACACATGCATCTACGCCCATCAAGTGATTGGATCTGAGTGTTTGTGCTACAGGTCAAACTTGGACAGATCTGAAAACCTTACAGCAACACCTTGAAAAGTTTGTTTCTCCATTTTCCTCATTAATCTGAGGCATGTAGTCGAGAATGAACCGTAGTGAATTCAGGAAGTCAGACGTGTCATAGTAGGAAAAGCACAAGTGTTGACAAAAGCACCATGACAACAACAATGGCTCTGTTCTATTCAAGTGTTGCCTCGACAAAAATGTGACAGTGAGTCAGCACCAGAGCTCTGACACTGAATCATTCATTCTATAATTTAGATCTGTGTGTTTACTGCTGTGAACATGACAATAACATGTTGACTTGTTTGTGTGTCACCATGCAAACATTCTACACCTCACATTTTCTCTGATCTGCTCATATCTTCCAACTCATCATATCCACCTTTTTCTTCACCGAGGATGACATGTTTTTGTTTGTCTGAGGGTTTGCAGGTTTATGCAAAAACTACTGGATGGATTACCACAGAACTTGGGGGGAAGTGGTGTGGGTCAGGGAGGAGGAACTCATTATAATATGGTGCAGATCTGGATAATTTTTGATTTCTCCGAGAATTATTTATGGATCTTGATTAAAAAAAATAATCTGACATGCTTAGAGGACTGATATTCATGAGCGGATGACATTTGTAGCTGATCCAAACAAACATCTAGTTCTAATGAATTTATATATGGTATATTTAGGGGAATGTGGGCTTGGGCAACAGTACAAACTCTACTGAGTGACATTCTAGTTTTGCAAGCATTTAATGTGACATTTTAATCTGATATAATTTTTCACATCTGTTCATTACAATTATTAAATTCATAAATTTGAATTGTAGCTATTTATTCAGGGTAAGAAATGTAGGAACCTTTTAGCCCATGTTGTTATCTCTTTAGATTTAGACAGCAAAATCTACAAAACATCACATTTTTCTGCTACAGGTATTTAGGGGAAATAATCTGTTTTTTTAATGCAATTTTTAAAAGTCAGATTGCAGTGACGCATAAGATTGGCGAAAATGAAACTTTAAGCTCAGCAGCAGTTGAGCGTGCTGGGGTGTTATCCTTCTCTCCGTCCTGATACAGGAGGTCAAACAGGGTGAGGCAGGTCAGGCTGGGACTCAGAGATAATGACCTTGCCTCCGCCCATTTCCCCCTCCAACACTCTGCCCCTCTCATCATCACAGTTACACCCACATGTACAAATATGCACAACGCTTAATTTCAGCCATGACATGCAGACTAAATGTGCACGTGAGGAGTGGTACTGCTGGTGTTAGTGCAGCTTTAGCTTGTGGAAAGTGAGGACACTGTTTGTTCATGTACGATCATTCAAAAGAGACGCAAAAGCAATTATTTTATGATGAAGGTTTCTTTAATTAAGTACAGAAGAATAAAGTATAAGGGGAAAGTGCTCAGTGACTGATCGTTAAAAGACTTATAGAAATCAAGTTTAAATTCAACTTGAATCTACTGCTAACATTAAGTGATGGGCAAGAAATAATACATTGTTGGCTAAAGATTCGGCATAAATAATCATGTGATGTATGATTAT